GGGGGGGGGGGGACTTCTCACAGCCCAATTTTTTATTCTGTCTTCATTCACCTTTGGAAAAATTGATAGTGTAAAGCTAATCATAAGAGATTTCCCTTCCAATTTTTCCTGTTCAATTTTCTTTTTATTCTTGTTTCTTGTTTCTAAGTTTTGAGGCCTTACAAAATAGTCCTAGTGACATCGAGTTGTGGAGCAGGTAGGAGAGAGATAAGGAGGTTTGGAGGAGGAAGGGTATGAGGGATTTTAGAAGAAGCTCCCTGGATTCCTTCGTGTTAAAGTCTTTCCGAACTAAGCAGAATTGTAAGGAAACCTATAACTGCCACGCTTATGCAAAATGGGGAGTTGAAAGCCTGAAAGCCCCATCAGGTGGAATCTTGTGCATGGCTTGTATACCTATCAGGGTTATACTTTTGTGTTCCTTCTTTCGGCTTAGATGTTGATATGAACAAAGCTAAAGATGGAGTTCATTTTTAATATTTAAATCCTATGTTTTGCTACTCTCCTGATGGATACATCATGGGCAACTAAATGCAGCCCTCCTCCAAACTGTGCAGCCGGGAGCTGCCATGAGAGAGGTCCGTACACCCCTCCTTCCACGAAAAAAAACTGTAACTCCGCAATATTTTTACTATTTTACTATTGTTTTATCAAAGAGAAAATGCTAAAAGATTGAACAACAATTAGAAGTTAAAAAGGAAACAAGCTTGTAAGATAAACTGGGGTTTGGGGTGCTAAAAAAGGATGTAATTGAGAAAAGCGGAACAAATAAGAAAGACAATATTTTGAATTTTTGCTTGCATTTAAAGTAGTGTTAAGGGAGTGACAATAAAAAAAATTATTGTTTAAAATGGTCTATTGATTTATTTTTAATATTTTTTTAGACTGGAAGAGCTCTGGAGGGAAACAAGACGTATTTATCATTCCTTCTGTATTATCAGGTCTGCAGAAACCTTTTTAACACATTTTTTTTACTAAGTGCACCCTTATGCAGTCAAAACATAAACAAACAAATTGTAATACATAGCAGACGAAAATCTTACGGATTACAAATTTTTCAGTAGGTAAAACTTTACTAAATCAAGAACTATTTAAATAGAGGATATCAAAATCGTCCCTCAATTCCCATGTTTATTGGGACAAACTGTATGTTGCAACAATTTTCAGAGCAGGGTCAAATTTGATTTACCCCTCTATTCTACTGATAATTGATTTTTGTAGACATAATCATGTACAAGATTTTTTCACAAGAACTTTCAACCTTTAAATTTAAGCGTCCCCATTTGTATAATAAATGCATTTTTTTGCAAATGTCATCCTAACCAGGGAGGGAAGGCAACCTCCCTTGCACAGCTTCCGTACCTCATTTTACGTATTTGTGGCAGTGCCCGTCTCCATATGGCTTCCGAACCCCTCCCATACAGTCTTCCAGGAATGATCTTCCATTTATAATCATTAAACTAATTCGACAATTTCAGCACGGTAGGGTAGTCAATCTATTGTATCCTAATCATTTGCATTATATTTTTATTTACTTTTACAATCAAAGATCGGGCTGGAAAAACGAAAACTTTGTAGATTTTGTTTGAAATTGAGGTTCGGAAGCAATAATTGGATCATTTCGATCTTTCAAACTTGGAACTTGATGATTTTTAATTCCTTAATATATTTGAAATTTTGTACAGCTTTCAATCCCTTGAACTTGTAAATAAAGAATTTTACTCATTAAATGTCAAAATAGTGCAATAAATATTTATGTCTGTGATTGGTGATCTTACGTCGGGTCTAATTCTACCTGTCTAGTTTTCAAAAACTGAAGTTTAATTAATTTGTTTTACCTGCAAAATAATGCTGATTGTAATTTTTTTTTTTATCACAACACTTTATGCCTATTTTGTTTTTTGAACATTAAAATTTAATCTATTGTTTTTTTCAAATTTGTTAGCTAAAGTCTAAAAATACTAACAATCCACCGCCAGTTACAGAATAATTTAAAATGTCTTCTTCCATTAATTACTTAAGTTGTTTAATACCAAGAGAATTATAAGAATATTTAATGGTAGTCATATTATAGTAAAATTGATTTCAAAGTAAAATATATTTTAGCAAAAGATTTTATTGAACGAAAAAAAATGCAAAAAATTAAGACATTCCAAATTATTTACCATTATGTTTCGTGGGACACCCTGTATAATAAATGTAATGCAAAAATATAAATTTAATTCTACAATCCTTTTTATTCTTTTTAGAATTGGGTGGAAATATTCCCACAACCCTATTTTGGAGGTTTTAAAATATTTTCTCCTGAAACACTTAATTTTGTATGTTTTCTTATATTTGATAAATAAAAATAATTACTAATAGTATCAATATTTATAGAGTCCGACGATTTGGACAAGGCCATCTGTTCCGTCAGTATTTTATCCCAACCCTAATCCTCTCAGCTGTACTAAGTATACCTAAGGTAATATATTGAAAATGAGACCCTCTCAAAAAAATGTTTGAAAGATCAAATTGTTTAATTTAAGTTTCTTTATATATTTTTCTTACAATGTTTAAATAAAGATCATTTCAATTTTCCTTTTTACTTTCTTTCGACTTAAACCTCATTGCTCAATAGTCAATGCACATTATCATAATTTGAAACATAAAATTATAAACATCAAAGTTCATGATTTAAAACGCTTTACTTTTTAATGTCAAACAATTTTAGAAACTTTGAAATAAATATTTATGAGGATTTAATTTTAGTTTCTATCAGTGACAGAGGTAGGCTTAATAGTTTATATCTTTGTTGATATTTGTTGTATCCTTGTATATTACTGTAATTCTGTATCCCTGCATCCCTGTATCCCTTTATTTCTGTATCCCAGTTTCCCTGCATCATTGTATCCCTGTATCCCTGGGCTCGAATTACCCTAGATATCCCTTTATCTTATCTTATCTTATCCCTGTATATTCCCTTTACCACTGTATCCTTCTGTCACTGTATCCCTGTATCCCTGTATCCCTGTATCCCTGTATCCCTGTATCCTTGTGTCACTGCATCCCTGTATCCCTGTATCCCTATATCCCTTTATTTCTGTTTCACTATGATAAAGCTAAATCTTATTTGAATCAAATGGGAATTGATCCAGGATTTCAAACATTTGAAAACTGTTTAACGTATTTATTTTTAAATTTTAAATTTTAATCAATATTCTTAAAAAAGGTATATGATGGCAGATGCAAATGTTTTGACATTTCTATATTTCTTGTTCTTGTTCGTACATCTTTCAATCATATTTCGGCTAATTTTGAAAAAAGCTAAATTTTTTTGAGACATCCTGGCAGTTGGCCAAAATGGCCAGTTTTAGAATTATATGCATGTTAAGGTACTTTTTTTATTTTGCACTAGATAATTGGATGATTCAGCAACTAAATTTGAGCTGAGCTGATTCATCTGCAAACAAACATTTCTAGTGTATTTATATCTAGGTGNTCCTAATCATTTGCATTATATTTTTATTTACTTTTACAATCAAAGATCGGGCTGGAAAAACGAAAACTTTGTAGATTTTGTTTGAAATTGAGGTTCGGAAGCAATAATTGGATCATTTCGATCTTTCAAACTTGGAACTTGATGATTTTTAATTCCTTAATATATTTGAAATTTTGTACAGCTTTCAATCCCTTGAACTTGTAAATAAAGAATTTTACTCATTAAATGTCAAAATAGTGCAATAAATATTTATGTCTGTGATTGGTGATCTTACGTCGGGTCTAATTCTACCTGTCTAGTTTTCAAAAACTGAAGTTTAATTAATTTGTTTTACCTGCAAAATAATGTATTAAACAGCAATAAAAGGCAATTTTGACCACACTCTATCTAGCTAAAGAAAATGTAATTATCTTTCGAAATAATTTGTCTTTCAAATCTGCAAAATAATGTATTAAAAAGCAATAAAAGGCAATTTTGACCACACTCTATCTAGCTAAAGAAAATGTAATTATCTTTCGAAATAATTTGTCTTTCAAATCTTAAGCGCTTGTAAAGACAAATGCGCCAATAGTTTAAAATCATTAGGTTACAACAGAGTTTTGTTTTCTAAAGATATCTCAATAACTAGAAAGAAACTATTAATAATAAGGCGGCAGCAATTCCAAGATTTGTTGAGAAAAAAAAATCTAGAAAGTTTTCGTTTCTTCAGCCCGATCTTTGATTGTAAAAAAATATTATGGAAATGTTAATGATACTATAGATTGACTACCGTGCTTAAATTATCTATTTAGTGCCATTTTAAGTAGAAATTGACGATTAAAAATGGAAGATCATTCCCGGAAGACTGTTTGGGGGAGGTTCGGAACCCTATAAGGACGCGCGTTGCCGCAAATAGGTAAAATGAGGTTCGAAAGCTATGTGGGTGAGATTGCCTTCCCTCCCTCTCCTAACTGCCAAAAAAGTGGTCAATTTTTAAGACCAGCATATCAGCAAAAATTCAGTTTTCATTATGATGGTGGATTTATGGTATTTTATCTAACAATGTACATTACTTTAATACAAATTGCTTTAGATGTTCCATCCTACCTTGACGACTGTTATTGTTCCGTTCGTTCTTCTATCAATTGCTAACTTCAAGTAAGTTTTTCAATCTAATTACTGTACGGCATGGATGATTATATCTTGGTTAGTGTTCGACTAACTTATTACATCAACTTTAGGGAGGTAGAGGGGGAGGAGGCTCTCCCCGGGAAGGGTGTCTAAAAAAGGCCACCTCTTGATGTGAACATTTTCAAGCTTTAGAATGAACAATAGTTCAAACGGGAGTGTTCAAATGGGATAGCATCAAACGACCACCTCTCTCATAGATCATCGTTTTGTAGAAGCAAACGTTTTCAAACTCTCGATAATCTTTTTTAATCCATTTTCCATCCATTCAGGGGGGGGGTATTTTCGCCTTTTATACTATACTACTTTACCCGGGCGAGGCATTGAGACCTGATTGGTGTATTTTTATAGGATTTATAAGAGACTGGTAGCGAGGAGACTTAGAACAGTTTCTGCTGGGTATGATTATTATCATTATCATTATTATTGTTATTATTATTATCTAATGCAGACGCTTCATTAATCTTGTCAAGCTTGCACCTGAATATATTTAATATTTTTTACAGAAGCCGAAGCCTGGAGGTGAGTCAGACAAGAACCTTGTTGATAGCTGTTATCTTGTTCCTGCTGATGAACTCCCCCCGCCTTGTCCTCCTGGGCATGGAGATAAACAGGATCAAGACCTTCGTCTGGTGTATGGTAAGAATATAAAGTTGGAAACAATTCTTTTCATTAAATCCTCGCCATGTCATTCAGCTTTGTCTGGAGTAAGTCTCAATATGTTAGATTTTTTAAATAGTTTTAGAAATCAGCCACACGTCCAATTGCACCGGGGAGGGGGGCGGGGGGAGGCTGGTTACTGCATTTAGACCTGAAAAAGAAAATTCAATAAAAAATAAATTTTGATTGGACGATTAATCATGGAAGAAATCACTTAAAAAAAAATTCAAAAAATTTCTTTAATTTAAATTTAAAACCATTGAATTTAATTCTATATTAAATAAGTTTGAGCTTAAACAAGAACGTTAAAAAGATGGATTACAATGTTCACCTAAACGTTCACCAAAGATGACTGAGATATCCTTGTTTCTGAATCAGAAAATTTATTAATTTAAAAAAACTTGAAGATATCTTTACCGTTGTGAATTGAGCATGCTACTCTATAAATAGGGTATCCCCTAAAATTACGTCTACAGTTCCTTTAAAGTATGTTTGTGTGTGTTTAGAACCGTGGGAGTACACACAGTGTTGGGACCTATATCAAGATGTTCTACATCTACGGCAGGTTCTGCAACACTGTCAACAGTTCACTCAACTTCGTGGTCTACTGTGCTGGGGGGTCAGAGTTCCAGAATACATTCTTCGACGTAAGATATATCAAATCAAAATAGGGTGAAATGACTCTGAGTAGTAGGGGAGGGGGGCACCACCCCTTCCTGAGATTAACAAGTGAATACATAGAATATACCCGTTTATTTTAATCTTAGAAGAATAAAGACCATGAAATGATAACTTTCCTTTATATTAATCTTTATTTCTTTTTTGATTCAAAAATTGCTCAATGCTAACATTTTGTCTCCTGTCAAGATCCTCTGCTAAAAATTGTCTTTTTTCTCTCACAAATAAACATTCATTTAAAATTCGGTGTTGTAATGGAACAAATCTCTATAGAGTAAATAAAGTAGATTTCCACATTTTATTGAAAATATATTTCGGTCTTGGTTCGTCAGTTCTTGAGATTGTATCTGTCATGAAGATTCAAAACAAAAATTCAGTTTCAATTTATATTTGAATCTATATTGATTGCTCCATGAATCGGTAAAAAATAAATGTTAGGGTAAAGATGATGGATTGCTGTAATGCAAACCTAAAAGTGTCAGAATATTAAAAATCAACTGTACTAAACTGTACAGTGTACAGGTCTTTTGTACATTTCTGTTTATGGCAACGTAATTTTGGGGTTCACAGCACTGCATTATCTGAAACAGAAACCAGAATTCAACCTTCTGATCGTAGTCTTTTAAGATCATTAAAATTCCATTCTTGATGGGCTTGACCAATCGAATATTCTTATTAGCTTGACAGTTGAATTATCAATCTGTGACAATTTCCTAATATCTTATCAAAGAATTGTCCTTTGCCAGGGGCGTAAGAGAGCATTTGTGTAGGGGCGGTGTCAGCTCGGAAAACCCCTTTTTTGAAAAAATATTTATAACTTTTTTTACTATGTAAACTATTCGATCATATATATTCACACTTAATAAAATATTTATTTATTTTTCTTAAGTGGACTCATCAGACTCCCTCTTAATACTGTTGTGTAAGCTTCAAGGGAAAAAAAATATAGTTGGAAACGTTTCTAAAAATATATCTATATTTTCAGAGGGCGTATTGTATTATAGATTATGATATCAAATATATATTTACACTGAAGACAATATTGATTACAGGTCTTTTAATAAAACTTGTTTAGTTAAGGGCAAAAGTGAAATTTTAAAGTATTTTTTTTACGATGTAATTATACTTAAATGGAATACATGCGTAATTTAAAGTGACCCTCCATTTATAGAGTGGCTTGTCCGATGTACCTTTGAAACCTTCATTTCTCCATCGTTTCTGAAGCAAGAAATGCATGAGTCACTTTTGTAGAGAAACCACAAATAAAAATAATCAGTTTTCAAAATGGGAAACATGGATATTTAATGTAATACAATTGATCAGACAAAGCTTTGAAGAGTATTGTTGTGAATCAGAATATATTTTAATTCTTATCTTAATTTTTGAGTTTGGGTGAGTGCAATGCAATGTAATGTAGAATATGTGGATTGCCTGAGGAAGGGAAATGCAAGCAGATGTATTAATAAAAGAGCCCCCCCTTGGGTGTCCCCCCTCAGGGAGGCACTCATAGGGGGGGGGCCGAGGGGCTAGGCCCCCTACCCCTCGTATGCCCCTGCTTTGACTCTAAAAAAAAACTTTGTTTATATTTTCCAGGGGAAATCAAACACAAAATATGGTTACAGCATTGTCTTGCCGTTGGTTCAGTATTTCCACATTTGTCTCAAATTGCTCTCTAATTTCCACATTTGTCTCAAATTGCTCTCTAATTTCAACATTTGTCTCAAATTGCTCTCTAATTTCAACATTTGTCTCTGATTGCTCTCTAATTTCAACATTTGTCTCTAATTTAGGTTTTCCGAATGAAGCGGAACACCCCTACTACAAACGTGGAGGGGTCCAACTCCTCTCTGGCCCTCACCAGGTTGGACACGCAGATGGAGAGGAAACCCTCAGAGGAGGTGCAGATGAACAGTGTTGTACAGACTACACAACTCTGAACATATACATAGGATCAGTGTACAGAATACACAATTCTGAACATATACAGTGGCTCCGTGTTCAGAGTACAGACTACACAACTCTGAACATATACAGAGGAACAGTGTACAGACTACACAACTCTGAACATATACAGAGGAACAGTGTACAGACTACACAACTCTGAACATATACAGAGGAACAGTGTACAGACTACACAACTCTGAACATATACAGAGGAACAGTGTACAGACTACACAACTCTGAACATATACAGAGGAACAGTGTACAGACTACACAACTCNATTTTTCCCCCCCCCCCCTTGTAATCTTATACAAAATATTTACCCCCTTCTCTATTGCTGAAAAGTTGTATTTACCCCCTAACCCTACTAAAATTACAGTTGCTTTTTGTACAGGGTAGGCAAAGGTCTTAATAATCCATTTATTTATATAAAAGCGATATAAAAAAATATTATGGATTGAACTTAAAACATTGATATTATACATATCATATCATATCATATTTTTCTAATGAAGGGAGAATTATTTTTTATTTCTTGCTATTATTATTGATCTTTTATTAAATAATGCTTCTTAAATCAGGCTAATTTTCATGTTTATTTTTACAGTAAAAAATAAAAGTATACCATAAGAAGACTGAAAGTAAAAAACGGAGTTTTTGTTAAAAAAAAATGAAAATCCTTCCAATTTACCATAATTTTGTTTTCTTGGGCCGCTTGAAATAAAGACATTTAAAACACTGATGTCCGAAATTGAGGCAAGCCTCTTTGCCCTTTAGGTGCATCGCCATTCTTTCCAGCTTGACCAACCTGTCGGTAGTCATAGGTGGCCTGTTCCAGGTCGAAAGCCTTCGGACTCGGAGTAATGACTTTGTAAAATTCCAGGGGGGTACACCCCCCTAATTTCACACAGGGGGGTAAATGGACTGCCCCCCCCCTGAAACTGCAAATGCTGTCTACACTCTACAGATCTCTAATTTATAATGGTCGGCGATAATATTAATACAATGAAGACGACTTTTTGCTTAAATTTTGATTGTTTACAAGCTTGTTTGCAACGATCGTTTAAAACTAGTTAAAGAGAAGCTTTTTTAATCGACGCCTTCTCCTTGTTTCCATGTTTGTGTGTGTATATGCTGTTTAAAGGCTAGACAAAAATCAAAATTTAAAAATCAAGATTGTATGTAAATCTTATTTTCACATTAAAGTGAAAACTTTAAAATCTTGTCAATATCTAATCTATAATCTGTGTTTTCAATCTAAACTTCATGTTCTATTTGTTTACGAAGTGATAAGCTGAATGTAAACTTGAATGTGGAAAAATATAATTATTAATTTAAAAAAAACACAAATGTCTCTGAAATATATAATCAAAATAGCTGTATACTGTATAGTATTGTCTTTTTTAAACCTTATACCATTAATATCAAGCAACTTAAAAAAAACTATTTTATAAGAAAAAATATTTTTTTAGCAAGGTTGATAAGTACATAAAACAATCGGTTTTTACTCTATTCCACTGTGTGCTACATATATGTAAGTATTTTTAGCCAAGGCTCAAAGTCTGTCCAATGCGTGAAAATTGACAGAAAAACGTCCAAAGGCATAAATAAAAAACTTTAAAAAAATAAATTTCTATTTTCATACGCGATTTTATAAAACTCTAAATAGGTTGTTTTAAAGAACATTTTTAAATCTTAAGATTAAGATGGGTCACTTAACCCTTGTGAGTGAGATGGGTTGTGCCAGACCCCCCCCCCCATTCAGTATCTGTGTTTGTAACTTTGTTTTGCTGTGATACATATTTAAATTATGATGTTGAAATATATATTGTATAAAGTATGTATTGTTTCTTGAATATATTTTTAACTAATTATAGTTTTCAAAAATTAGAAAACTTATCGTAGGTTTCGTACTCCTTTTTCTATTCATGATTTCAGTTTTGTGCTTCTGTTTCTATCTAACTAGGCTTTTAGGACGCTTCGCGCCCGTCTTCTAATTTCTATTTCAACTTTTAATTGTGGGTTTATCTGTGAGCATCCTTACTTTGTACAGTATAAACAAAAACAAAAAAAAGTTTGCGAATTTCATAATATTTTTTCGCACGTTTTTAAAATTTTACAAAAACAAAAACCTTTTCACACAAATTTTCAAAATTTTGATCTTTCATAAACCTTCCCTGGGGTCACGTGAGGTCCCGCACAAAATTTTGGCCCGATCGGTTCAGCGGTTTTGACGTTTATTGGATACATACAAACAGACAGACAGACGAGCTAAATTTATATATAGAAGACATTCTTCTTCCGACATTTAAAAGTTGCATAAATAAAAAATCAAGGATTTTTCTGCATTATACTTTGTTGGATTTCCGACATTTTATGGAAATCGAAATTTTTTGATAGCAATATGTTTTTACTTTTGATAGGCCTTACAAATTCCCTTAGGTCATGTTACCACAAAAATTGTGGGTCTGAAAGGCTGGCATTTACTTTATTTTCTGAAGATTTTTTTTGTATTTTGGCCACAACTGATAAGGCAAACATGACTAATATGTCTATAGTTTATATTCTAAAATTTGAATTCAGGTGAGAATTTTTAGATATTTGAAAGATGTCCTCTACCTTTAAAATGTCTTTAAATTACAATGTTCATTTGAACACTCAGTGAGAGTTAACTTCAGGCCCTTGCTTCATAATCAGACTTGTAAACAACTTGAATTTGAAAATTATTTAATTATTTAATTATATCCGAGCTTAAACAAGGACTGCAGTAATGTTCCGTTAACGAAACGAGGGTTTTCAAAAATTAACGATAAAGTCCCGTAAAGAACAGCAAAAACCGTTTATTTTGAAATTGTTAACGACAGGGCACAGAGATAATAAAGTCTCGCCTTTTCAAACCAGGGTCGACTTGGAAGTGTTACAACGCCTTGGGCTTTAATTTCACTGTAGCACTTGACATGTACATTTTAGCACTAACATCAATGGGTCAGCCGGTTTTGAAAAAAAAATGGTTGAAAACGAAACCGATGTGCTCTCCATAAACGGCGAATATCGTTATAAAGCAAAAATTGCAGCTTCGGTAACAAAAGTGCAATAAAGTTAGCAAGGCTTTGTTATGAGCCATATGTAATTTAAGTATTCGAGGTATCTTTTATTTCAATTGTGAACATTTTCTCTTTGAATACATTGTAAATGTGAGGTCCCACACAACATTTGGGCTCGATAGGTTCAGCCGTTTATTGGGTACAAACAGACAAACACCCAGACAGACAAGCAAAGTATATAGATAGAAAATGTGCCTGCTCCTTTCTTTACTCAGTCTTAAAACGTTAATAAAAACATAGCTCTAATCTAATCTAATCCTTAGAAGGGATCGTAACCGGCAATATATTGTAGCTGAACTGAGAATGCAGTATTGTGGAGAAATTGTTTAGTATTCATTTGAGACATATAAATGTTTTAATGATGTAAAATTACTGAGTTCAAGCGCGTAAAGCCGACGTTCAAAATCATCCATTTGGTTGGTTACGTTTTGAGAATCGATTTATAAAACATTATTAAATAATGACGACGACAAAAAATGCATCAGAAATTCTACAGTAAACTAAATAGATATTTAGGAACATATTTCTCAATAGAAATTTGTCATAAATCAATGTTAGAATCAATTGTTTCTTTTTCATCATTATTTTGAATTTCTTATCCTTTACGCATTTGTTCGCAGATTTCTTTAAATTCTTCAAATGTCGTCTTTTCAGTAAAAATTCATATCACTTGTATAATCCATATTCACTAAATATATCATTTATATTTCAAATTGTTAAGCATAGAGATAAAATCAAAAAAGTACAAAACTACAAAAATATTTCTCGTCAGAAATTAAAAAGGGTTGCAGCTTATCTGAAAAGCCTCAAATTCTCTGGTCTCCTGTAATAGAAATACATCCTGTCCAGTTCAAACCAGATATTTACCTAGGATATTTACCAGTTCAAACTAGATGTATATCAAGGATGTATAGCAGACGAACCAGATATCTATCTAGGAAATATACCAGACAACCCAGATCTTTACATAGGATATTTACAAGTTCAAACTAGATATGTACAAGTTCAAACAAGTTATTTATCTAGGATATTTACCAGTTCAAACCAGATATTTATCTAGGATATTAACCAGTTCAAACCAGATATTTAACTAGGATATGTACCAAACAAACCAGATATTTATCTAGGATATTTACCAGTTAAAACTAGATATTTATCTAGAATATGTACAAGTTCAAACCAGTTATTTATCTAGAATATTAACCAGTTCAAACCAGATATTTTTCAAGGATATATACCAGTACACACCAGATATTTAACTAGGATATATACCAGACAAACCAGATATTTATCTAGGATATTAACCAGTTCAAACCAGATATTTATCTAGGATATTAACCAGTTCAAACCAGATATTTAACTAGGATATATACCAGACAAACCAGATATTTATCTAGGATAATTACCATTTCAAACCAGATTTATGACTTTACAGTTTAAATAAGCTTAATACATTTTCTGAAAAAAAGAATTAAAGTTGGATGAAACTTTAACATTTATAAGAAAATATTTAGAATTTCTTCAGCTGAAGATGAAAAGGATAAGTCAAAACCTTCCTTAAAATACTCAGATACTGAAATAAGTACTTACAATCTACCATATTTATAAAAACCAAGTTTAAAAGTTAGATTATATTTAGTACAGTGATAACCAGAAAACTCTGGAAAAGGAAGTCGAGTTTTGAACTCAAGTTATGACTTTGAAAAGTCCAATGAGCATGAGACACAGAAATTGTAAAGTGTAAACAGACCCATTTCACTAAATGAGTGCATTAATAATTTGCTAGCACAGCTTTTTGCTTTGTAACAACATCAAATGCACTTCAGTATTGCTAAAATGTCGTCCTACTATTCTACAGTTTTCTGGTTATCACTGTATCATGTTTTATGACAATTAAAATAGATGTATTTTGATTTCCTTGAAACTCGTGGGGCTCGTAATCTGTCCTCTTCAGCCTCTGCGTCCTCTTCGGCTCTAGCCGTCCTCTGCCTCCACTGATGATGGGGAATATACCTGAAGGACAAGAGTGTATACTTGTAGGACAAGAATTTATATCTTAAGGACAAAAGTGTATACTTAAAGGACAAGAGTGTGAACCTGAAGAGCAATAATTTATACCTGAAGGACAAGAGTGTATACTTGAAGGACAAGAGTGTATACTTGAAGGACAAGACTGTATACTTGAAGGACAAGAGTGTATACTTGAAGGACAAGAGTGTATACTTGAAGGACAAGAGTTTATAGTTGAAGGACCAGATTGTATACCTGAAGGACTACTGTGTATACAAAAAATTAGTCCTAAATAACCTTAAGTTAGGTCTATAAGTCCTAACTAACCTTGAGTTAGGTCTATAAGTCCTTGTAAGATGAGTTTCTCTAAGTCTCTGTGTTCCTCCAATATCCCTGGCCATATTAGATAAAACCTCCATCTCTACCCTACTGTCTGCTCCCTGCTGCTGGTCAGCTAGACGCCGATGATAGTTTCCTCCGCCAGAGCTTTCACTTCTCTCATCTTAAAGAAAATATTCTCGAAAATCCGTACATTTTAAAGAGACTGTTTACAAATAACATTAAAACTCTGAATAAGCTTCAAACCGGTTCTTAATACATATTAATGTAATGAAATGTCAATTTTCTTTATCTAAAAGCAGCGTTAAATTGAAATTAAACCAAAGACGACGTTAAAAAATCCCAAAATTTCCTACCTGTGCCAACAATCCTCGCCCAGGCAAGAAAGTCGTCGTCCTCCTCTCTCTCTTGATCCTCTTCATCTTGTCTACACCGAATTTTTTTTATATTTTAAAAATTTTCATAAATTATGCAGACCCATAATCGGCATTTATCCAAAAACTCCTTTAATACTTCAGCAAGACTAAGCGATTTTCTTCTAAAATCTTTTCTATCTAAAAAGGGATTGGAAGCGCAATTTCAAATGACCCGATTCACCACGGTACCCTTAAAAGCTTTGACTGGTCGTGCATGAATTAGATATCTATGTTTATTATTTTGAAAACTGCTTATTTACGATTGTGGTGTCTCTAAAGAAGTGACATGCACAATTCTGCTGCAAGAACACACATTAAAAACTGGAGACATCACTTGAAATTACGCCTACGGCCCTCCTAGTATCCAGATTAAACACATCTCATAGAATAATCTCATTCCTAATGAACCCTTGTTGTTAAAAATTTAAATGAATATATACTCGTTAAAGTAAAATGACCCGAGCTTTATAGAATTCCAGATATATGGAACATTACTCTTCAGTTTTCCTAACACAAATATGGAATTCATTGTCACTAGAACTAAAAATTCTTTTTCTTTGTATATCGGCGATTTAAATATTCAAGATCCAATTGTTATTCATATAATTTGGACTAAACAAATTTGTTTTCCTAGTATTTTTTTTTCTGTCAAAAAGGCAAACTGTCCGGGTCCCTTTTGCATCCAAAATTTTAGTAATGGCACAAAATTATTGTACAGATTCAAGGGTTGAAAACGCCCTGAATTTATATAATCTATATAATAAAGCACTTCGCTCATATATATATGGCCAAACTGCTGGACCGAATGGGCTGAAATATTTTGAGGAAATTCTTGAGTCCCCTGGGGGGTAACAAAGGTTAAAAACTCGAAATTTTAAACATCATTTTAAAAAGAAAATTTCTATTTTAAAAAATTACACGGGCATCGCCAGGCATTTCAGCTAGTAATTAATAAAACTCATTGCTCATATATATCTATAATTGTATATATATGTTAGCTATGGCTGGCAAAACGGCTGGACCAATTGGCTGATTTTTTTTAAGGGAACCCATGGACACCCTGGGGGTAACGTAGGCCAAAAAATTATATTTTTTTACTTTCAAAAATCAATTTTTTCACGGGGAACGCCGGGCACTTTAGCTAGTTTATAAAAAATTTTCCTCCAGGTTTGATGAAGAAGATCAAACAAATGAAAATCTTGATTCTGCTGCCCAGGGAACTCAACAGGATTACTTTCTCTAAATACGGTCGTCGTCGTATTTATCAATACAAAAAAGACGACTTTCGATTTGAATTTTTGATTTCGACCAAGCTTTCAAACAGCACTGTTACACGTAAACATTGAAGCAAAGAGAAGCTGTCCAGTGTCCATGAACAGTTTCTCTTTATTTACTTGTTAACTTGTTATTTGAAAATGCTTGTTAGAAAAAAAAATTAATAAGAAAAGTCGTCCTAATTATATTGATATTAACGCCAACCACTGTAAAATGTATATCCTCAGATGTTCAATAGAGACAACATTTCGTTAACGAATTGAAGTTTCTGAAATAAAGAACCACCAAGTTATTAGATAAAAGAGAACAAAATAAACGTTTAACTAACTAACGAACATCCTACCCTCAAAAATGTGTATTTTAGAAATTTCAGGCAAAAAATGTCAAAAATAAATCAACATTTGTCAACGTTTCAGGTTCGAGATTTAAAAAAACTGATAATTGATTTATATCAGAGCCCGCGATTTAAAAGCTTCGGCTCGAGTCTTAATTCCTTAATTGCAGCTTTACGGCCCAATCTTCGACCCAACTCTGACGACAGCTTGTGTCACGTGATTGACAGCTGCGAGATCTTAGGCTCGACTTAAGGAGTTAGGCCCAATGAAAATAAAACCGACCTTGGTTGGTTTTAATGAAGAATAAGGCTCAATGTTGGGACTTATTCTCATCAAAACCCGGAATGCACCAATTCCTACAATGAAAATCCGCCAAATACAACATTAAAACGGTTTTATGAACTAAATTCTGTTTAAAAATAGATGCAACTTAAATTCGAAAGCCCGAGCCGTAAATAAGGCTCAACAACAGCTTAGACCCGAGTCGTATTTTCTTGAATTTTTTAAATCGCCGGCTCAGTTCATCCGCAGTACAAGACTGAAAGGCGAACATCTCAAGATATCGAGTAGTGTACTTTTTCGAAACAGAAACTGTTAAACTTATTTTTTGACATAAAACAAAACAGAAAAGTGTTTGAACCTCTAATAAACATGAGAATAAACATGGGAATTGAGAGACGACTTGAATATCGTCTTTGATTTCCGATTCTGATTAATAAATGACAAAAAGTGCATAAAAAAAATTGAAAGTCTAATGGGCTTTCCAAATTGTGGTAAATCCTCTTAGTATCTTTATTGAGATATTAAACATTATAGAACAGTTTTGTTGATTTTTAATAAACTGAATCCTTGAAAAATTCCCCAATATCTCTGTCAATTTTGAAGGTTAAAAATGGTAGACCACATTTTGGAAATCCTGAGATTATTAGTTTTCAGTATAAAATGTGTTAACTGTGATACTACAAAATGGAACAAAGACAATATAGAAGTCGTCATTTAATTCACATGTTTATGAGTGACCACACTCTGTAACATAATCCTTAAATTTTCGGAAGATTGGCAGCTTTAGAAGAAATTTCGTGGAATCTATTTTGATCGGAACAAAAACAATTTTACTCATTTTCCGATATTTCTTGCGAGCAAACAAAAATAAAAATGTGCAAAAAGTTAATCGTATTTTTGTAATCGTTGCTGCCCCCTTAATCAGAATCCAAAAATTATTTTTATTAACTTTTTAATATCTTTAAAAAGGCCCAATAACAATTTGAAAGAGTTGATAAATTACATGGCATTCTCAAACGGATATTAGCAATAAATAAAAAAATCCCCAAAAATCCCCAAAAATCCCCCTAACGCTTCCCCCTTCGGTGCAAAACTTAAAAAAAGTGTATAGCAAGGATTTTGAGGTGGCTCAGATGCAGAAATGGCGTGGTCTGCTTTGCTACTCTAGTATACCTAGTGTGTGAAGATCTCGTGTTTATTTGATCCTCTGCATCAGATCCATCAAATGTATTCCTAAACAAAGTATTTTATAAGGACTGCAAGCATAATTTCAAGTGACCCTCCATCATGGTTATATAAGGTTAAATACTCTGCATGGTAAATGTTATCTTTTTTTGCAATTGACTCTAAATCCTCATATGACGTCACTGATATTTAACTAACAATCATCACACTTAACAAATATTGATTGTGCTATCAAGTTGAAAGCTAAAACATGCAATTCTAATTCAAGTTTTCAATTTTTGAGTTCGTTTATATTTAGTGAGCCAAAAAATTTATTATTCTTTAAAATAGGCAATGACGTCATATGAGCCACAACATTTATTATTCTTTAAAATAAGCAGTGACAACATATGAGCCACAAAATTCATTATTCTGTAAAATAAGCAGTAACGTCATATGAGCCACAAGACTTATTATTCTGTAAAATAAGCAGTGACGTCATATGAGCCACAAAGTTTATTATTCTTTAAAATAAGCAGTGACGTCATATATGCCACAAAACTTATTATTCTTTAAAATAATCAGTGACGTCATATAAGGATTTAGAGTGTCCATTGCTATAAAGGTCATCTTTACCTAAATTGGAGCGCATCCAGAGTATTATACAACCTTATTATACAACCTTGTCCTCTATGCATAGGTAAGTCCGATTCACAACGGTAACGTTCCCTTAAAAACTTTGTCAGATCAAGTATGAATTAGATATGCATGTTTTTCTTTATTTATTTAAACTGTTTGTTTTCTTTCAGTAGTTGTTTTGTTTCTCTGCCAAAATGACTAGTGCATTTCTTGCTTATAAGAAACAATAGAGGAATTCATAAAAAAAGAACACTTTCTTTAGTAAGAAAAACGTAGTTATCTTTCACATTTTCGATCAGATTAAGGTTTGAATACCGTTGTAAATCGGGCATTGCTATCTTTATATGGGCCCACTGAAAAATACGCTATACAGTCCCTTTAATAAAAATTTTACAATAAAGATTTGTATCATTTAACCATACAATAATTCCAGAATTTGCTATTTAATCAAAAAACCTACTAATGAACTTATATGAAAAAAGATTATAGTTTTATCAAACAGGTTTCTTAAAGGGTCTGCTGACAAAATTTCAAGTAGCCTTACATTTATTGAAAAGTAAGTAACGGTACCCTTTAATCTTTTGAATTTAACGTCTCACGATAAAAAAGATATCTGCCCAAATGTAGCACAAATAGAGGTTTAAAGGGTGCCATTGTGAATCTTACATACCTACCCCCCTTTTAATGTTAAGTCACTTATAAATAAAATACAGCCCTTACCCAGTAGTTTAAAATCTTTCTTGAAAACCAACCTTTTCATTCATCATTAACATGAAAAAAATCCAAAAAATCATAAATTACCTTGCTAATTGTTCAGCAACGATATTTCTTACAACATTGTGTCCTCTGATAAAAATATTCATTCAACAAAATTTTGAATTTTTTTTTCTTAAAATCTACTAAACTTTTGTTTTGGAAACAAAAATAAAAAATGTTGAAAAAATGCGCTAAATGAATTTTCCTAAATTTGACGCGGCAGGTTGGACAGGAGCGAACCTCAGGATTACTCTTGCACAGTTCACATATCACGTGACCGTTTGTGCACTAAAATAAGATCCATTGCAGTTTAAAAAGTAAAAAAAAAGTTGTTGTTGCAGCCACTAATCCATATTTATTAGTTAAAGAATGATAATGAAAGATCCCCAGACCGCCATCGGATTATTATGTATATAAGGAAATTAATGGTCGAGAATTCTTTCTAACCAACAATCCAATAAATCCAATATCAGAATACCAAGCCAAAGTTTTCAACTATTGGATCAAACTTAATAGCGCGGATTCCTTCGCGCCGAAATATTAATCTAAATCGTTTCTAATCTCTTGAATCAAAAGTTTCCGTTTGAATATAAAGACAAAGCTTTGCAGCTTAGCCTTATCTTTATCAAAAGTTGGGATATAAGAGCTGGGAACTTTTGAATGGCGAATATCGGGATTAATGCTTGATCCACTCTTTTTCTTAATCTCGAGATTTAATAATACTTGTTCTCCTCTTGTTACTAATCTCCAGATTAATTAACCGATCGGGATTAAGGATATCCCATACTAAAGGTTTTCCTTTTCATTCTAATATTTATATTCACGAGAGAGAGTAACTAATAAATGACCTGAAATATTTTCTTAGGTGGTCTCATTTCCTCCAGGCAGACAGGACACTCAAGCAATTCTCGAACTCGCCTTTGCTCACGTTCTTTAAAAAAATCATTTATTTTCAAGATTTCCTGTATTTTGTAAACATAGATATTACATTTCTATCTATATGAGTGAAGGAAAGGTCTTAAGAGAGTTCCTNTGAAAAACTTGCCTTTAGAAATCCAATTTTTTTTTATCCCCAAATATTTTTTTTACACAGAAGTTAGGTATGTTTGCTTGGACCGCCAACCAATGCCCTCGTACGCCCATGATAACTGGCATAGTTTAATCAAATATTTTAGTTTTTATTACTAACAGGTACATTTATTGATCATATATTATAGTTTCTAAGAGGCGCGTCTATAAATAGACATTTCTCTTGCTTGTTTATTGGTTTTATTTAAAAAATATAGGAACAAAAAAGGTTTATAATGTCAGGATTAAAAAACATTCCTGAAAATCAAATTAAATTTGCAGAAAATTGAAAACAAATCTAGCAAAACCAGTAAACCTGCGATTTTTTGGGGTGATATTATTAAGATAATAATTACCAACAAGTTTTACACTTATAATTTAGAGGACTTTTCCACGAAATTTTAAGTAGCTCTTTAAATCGTGACGTTAACAATTTTGAGCAGTCCTCTTTAAATCCCACTTTAAAATATGAATCTAGAGAAATCTGTTTTTTTTTTTATCATTTGTGATCTACTTAATTTAAAATATCTTAAAAGAAAAGTCTTATTTTTAGACAGAAAGTTTGAAGTGTGACGTCTTAAATCATAAAACTGGATAGAGAGTCAGATTTCGTGAACAATCCCTTTAGTTTTGTACCTGAGGAAACACTGTTAGTTTGTGAGCAGGGTATCTTCGAGCTGACCGCTATATTGAGCTGCTCTAACTCCTCCAGCTGGTTTCGTAGATTAGAAATATCCTTCTCAGTTACTATACGATACCAAACAAACTCAAATAATAATGATATTAATAATAATAATAATTATAATTATTATAATAATAATAATAATAATAATAATAATAATAATAATAATAATATAATCATAATTATAATTATATTTGGAATTACATTTTATTGGGTTACATTGAATTTCGGTTCAGATCAACTCTATTGCATTTTCAATTAGTCTGATTGGCATTATATAGATTTTTAGTTTCGGGGATTTGGACCCCATCCTCATATTTCTTTGCAACCACTTGTAACTATCTATCTAACTTGACCTAACGTGACCAGAAATAACGTCAGTGGTAATACTGAACCCCTAAGTTATTTAAATTATTCCTAATTTCTATTTATTTCCACAATTAAACAGATCTGGTTTATATGACGTTTGTAAGATTCCTTTAAGGTCCTCAACATGTCTCTCGTTTTCTCGTTGGATTTCTCGTTTGTATGCTTCATGTACTTCGTTTAACTTATGCCTGGTGTACAACCAGTTCAATTATGTACATTGTACATCTAGAGAATGCGGAAAACTAATTTGATATTTGCTTAAATCTTGAATGCAAATTGTAAACTTCATTTTGAAGTTTTTTCCCCCTTGTTTTTACTATCTAAAATAAATTTGAACTGTGTGATCATTTATGCTAGGCGATTACATCAATGCAATAAAGACGACTGTCGATTTCAGTTTTGATTTATATTAAGCTGTAACAGCTGGATACACATAGAATTTAAGAGAAGCTGTCAATTAAAGCTTTTTTTAAATACTTGCAAATTTGTAATTCAAAAAAAGCTTGTTAAAAATCAAAACTTAAATTTAGAAGTCGTCTTTATTGTATTGTTATAATCGCCGACCACTGTAAAAATGTTTAAATACATCCGACAAATCCTAAATTAAACTTTCAATAATTTTCGACAATTAAAACTTTCCTGTGCGTTTCTCTTTTCTGTGAAATTTCTTCATTCTTGAGTTCAATTTTTCTAAAATAAATACAATTTAATAGATTACTTTAGGAGGTATATATTTCTGTTTACATTGGTTGAATTAGTCTTGTCAATTTATACGTCAATAGAATTCTACTAAAAGTCGTCGTTGATTTTAAAACATTTTAAGGACCATCTTTACTAATCAAGTATAATTCATGTCCAATACACATCAACCAACTCGTTCTTACCATTCCTCTCCGACTATATTTGGCACTCCGTCCTTACCTAGATATATCTTTACTCTCCTGTATTTGGTTCTCCAGATTGTTCTCCGTCCTTACCTAGATATATCCTTCCTCTCATCCTGTATTTGGTGCTCCAGGTTGTTCTCCGTCCTTACCTAGATATATCCTTCCTCTCCTCCTGTATTTGGTTCTCCAGGTTGTTCTCCGTCCTTACCTAGATATATCCTTCCTCTCCTCCTGTATTTAGTGCTCCAGATTGTTCTCCGTCCTTACCTAGATATATCCTTCCTCTCCTCCTGTATTTGGTGCTCCAGGTTGTTCTCGGTTAGGAACTCACTCAGTTTCTCTAAAACTGCTTTCACACTAAATATGATTTTTTCTTTTTATTTTTTTATTTTTCTTTACTTCTGACATGTAACCACCTAATTAAATTGCTAGTCCAATAAATAAAAACGAAAACCATCTTATAATGTTGAAAATAACAAAAATAGCGAAACTTACAGAAATCTGCAGAAAATCAAGAAGTTAACTGTTCAATTAATCTGAAGGATTTTATCTGCATAAATCAAAGAAACTACTAGTTAAGGTGTGACTTTAACAAATCACAATCAAGAGAGTATTCTTATTTAGGCTATATAAGAGATTTATTGGGGGGGGGNAATGAATTTTTTTTAAGCAAAAGCTTTTAAAAACCAACTATTAAATTCAATATAATAACAATAGCTTAAATGCTTAAAGGCTTAACGGGCAGTTGTGAATCATATTTGTAATCTTTTAATAGAAGTCCTTTAAATTTAAGCCGACAATCCCTTTCTATAATTTATAAGAAATTAAGTTAAAATCCAGTGTAAATCTAAATTGAAACAAATGTAAGAGAAATCAATGAGGAAAAAACTGAAAACGAAATTACTTGATATTAATTTGTTATAAAATACCTGGATCTTGTACTTTTTCCCTCAGGTATATTATGTTGAACATCTTCTTTTTCCTCCACATTTTCCTCTTCCTCCTTTTCTTCTTTCTCCTCCTTCTCATGTTCTTCCTCCTCCCCAAGCTGTTGAATAATACTGTTTAGGTGTTCAACATTTTCAGTTAAATCCTCAGAAGAACTTGAACATTCAGCCATTTCTGAAATTTTTTATAATTTAAGATTCACGGGAGGGGGGAAGGCCACTAAAGGCCCCCTTTCGCCAAAGTCAATCTTTTAAAAGCAAAGATCAAATTTTGAGGTGAAGTGTAAAAAGAATTTTTTTGCGGACAAAAGTGACATGATATACAAATATGTAATAGCAACACTGGAACATACCTATTTTAAAGATTTAAAAGTAATAAGCAAAGTGACTGATAATCTTAATTCTAATTAGCTCATGCTCATGATCTTAAAAGTGTAATCTTTCCAGATTACTAAGACTTTTTTAACCCTTTTTAAACAATGCTGCATACTAAAAAAATACTAACTAGCAGACACCGGTATGTATATTAATATTGTTACTATACATTTTAAACACTAATGATTATAATGCAAGCATGCAAATATTATGACAATTTATAGATGGGAATTAATTATAATTCTATCTCACGGAAATTTGATAGCACAATTTGCATTAAGTCAGCTAAATTAACACACAAAAACAGTGCAGTGGCGCAACCATTGTATTAAACAAAATTTTCAGGCCAGAAACAGACGTAAACATTAAAAATGATACCATTAAAGGAACTGTAAGCATAATTTCAGGTGACTCTCAGTCTCTCCATGCAAAGCCCGACCCCCAACAGTACTTTTGAAGAAATTAATCTCTAATGAAGTATTGCGCATTTCTACAGCAGAAAATTATAAAGGAATTATCAAAATGAAATACTTTTAAACCTAGAAAAAAGACAATATCTTCCATGCTTAATGATGGTTAGAAAAAAAGGCTAAATGATACCGTTTTAAATAGGGCATTGTCATCTTTGCACGGAGGGTCACATGAAATTACGCTTAAAGTCCCTTTAAACCAGGAAAGATTATCGGTATGAGTCGCTTAGAACAATTTTCTCCTTATAGATGCAGCAGATAAAAGTAAGATCAGTAGCGCTTTTGATTATATTACGATCAGAGCTGAATGTAGCAATTTTCCGAATTTGTATGAACGTAGCGTTCTTTGGTATGAGTCGTGTTTAACAATTTTCTCCTTATAGATACAACAGATAGAAGTAAGATTAGCAGCGATCAAAAGCACTTATTTTTCGTCGTAACCTATACCTCCTTTCATTTTTCGCGAACACTCCCTTTAAGGCAGCTAAGAAAACACAAAAACAGTGAAGTGGCGCAACAAAGACCGTCCCCCCTTTGTATTGAACAAAAGGGAATTTACAGGCCAGAAACAGACGAAAACATTAAAAATGATACCTAGCCGCAGCGTTCGGCCCAGAAAGTGTCTTAACCTAACCTAACCCTAAATAATGCTAAATAAATACTAATTTGGTCATGTAAAAAATTGATAGAAGGGGGGGGGAGGGCGTTCACTAGGACAGACCCGAATTGACGTGCGAAATGACTTGGTGTACTCTGCAAGGCTCAATTAATGACTGACTGGTTTTCACATTCACTGCACTGAATGGACAATGGACATTTTGAGTTTAACTGTAACACTGAAGCTTTTTTTTTGTAAAAATATAATAGAGAATATAAATTCCAACACGCCGAAAGATCTAGGATCGAATGAACGTTTATATTTTAACACGTTTTAATGGTTTAATTAAATAATAATAATGATTTTATAACTTTGAAGCAAAATCATACAATTAGTTATTTCACAAGGCTTAAATTGTTTTGGGTTTTTATTCTTTATATTATAGCTATAACGAATCGACTTCTGCAATCTGCACTGCACTGTCTCACTCTCCCGGATCCGAAGTTTCTCTTTATCCATTTACCTGTATTTGACCCGTCACGTCTGCGTAGACATATGTTCCTCTGCGTATCTCAGGGATAAATATATATCATTTAACGCAAAAAGTTTCAAGTACAAACATGATTATCTAAATAAAATTAGATTCAAAGTAATTGAAAGATTTTATTTTGCCTAAATTGAAAGGAGCGTATACAAAACAAATCAAGGATGTCTAAAACCTAGGATGGGTATGATTATCTGTTTATTTTAACCATTTTTCATAAAAAAGCTATTAACCATTTCTGACTTTTTTGAAACACCAACCCACTGCTTGACTGTCCTCCACCCTACCCTATGCATCAAAAAAAATTTTTGGCAAAAACTATTATATTGAAAACATGAAGAAGTTTCAGACTTCTAATTTAAGCCGTTTTTAAGATACTCAGAAAAAAACACTGGGAGGGGGGATGGAAAACATCAATGGGCATCTCTTGGCCATGAGCAAGAGTAGTTCAGGAGATAATTGCACTACAGAAACGGTTTTTTTAAATGGATTTTTTGGCCAATACCTTACACATTTTCCTATAAACATTAAAACAATAAAACATTATTTCTCAACTGTCAAAATGTTTCCAAAAAGCATGGTGTTCAGTTTGAAAAAAATTTACGTTAACCACTCGACCAGATAGCAGACAAAAGGTGTTGTAAAAAAGACACAATTTTTCACCTTTTTCTAAATATTTGACTATCAAAAACAAAAAAATCGAAAAAAATTGTCAAATATAGTTTTAACCAAGCTAGAGGATTTCTAAAATGTTATCACTATTTAAATATCCCTTGAAGATGGACAAAGTTAGCCCTATTTTAGCTGAGAATGGTTAAAAAGGGTTAAAAAGGCCAAAAATGGCGGGTAAAACAGTAAAATGGCTGGGCCATTTAGGAAAATTATTTTCAAGTACTAAAATTTCATATTTGAGCAAGTTTTACACTAATGCTCCCTAAAAAATATGTCGCACATCTGGGAAATTTATCACTCTAAATTACAATTCATTAAAAAATATTTTTTCTTCCAGAGAAAATTCTTTAATTCTGTAATAGATGCACCCAATTTTACTTCCCTGTTTGGATTAATATGGCACAAATAGATTTGCCCAAAGTATGAAAATTTGTAAGGATGTTACCCCCCTGAATATCTTACAGGCGCGTATGTATACAGGGGGGCAGTTCTCCTCTTGCCCCCCTCTGGGCATCCCAAGGGGCAGGGGAGGCCCTGCCCCCCCCTGGGAAATACATATGGTATAAAGGTTAAAAATATCATGGGTATGGTAGGTAAAATAATTTGAGCTTTCACCCATCTGAAAAGGAGTGTTTTCTTCTTAAAAAGTAGTTGACAACCATGCTAAAAAGTGCGTTCTATTGTTTACTAAGCCCCCTCTCTGTAATTAAATCAAACCTTATTGCCCCTGAACTAAGTTACCAATAACATTAAATGTACACTATTTGCGTCACTAAAAAGTGTACAGTAAATTTTTTCAAACCGGTTATTGAATTTATTGAGCATGTTGTACTGTCACTGTCAGATAGGCAGTTGTGTTTGTAATTTGTTCTATGAACACACTATAAGCTATCTTCTAGTTTGTTTAACTGTGATGATTTTCTCGTATACATGGTAAAATTAAAGCAAAAAAATTTGGATCTGTCCTAGAGAACGAGAACGAGCGCTGCGGCTGGGACAGACTAGGGGGCCGGGCGCTGCGGCGCCACAGTCCATTTTTGATAATATGTTTATAACACATCACATGTAACAAATTGTAGTTTTTTAAGAAATTGTTGTTTTAGATTAGAACATCTTGAAAATGAATTTTCTAAAATTACAGTGCTTTTTATTGTTGTTAAACTGCTGTACAGTGTACAGTGCATCTTTACCACGATCCAAGCGTACTCCGTCTCCAGTGGAGCAGGGCAACGACTGGTTTAAAAGCTTCTACAGTATGTTTTCTGAAGATGGCAGAGGTAATCCAGTTTAAATTGGCTACTTTGGGGGGCGCACTAGGGGAGGGGTGCCCCCTCCTTTGCGCGTGCCCCCCTGATGGGGTGGCACGTGAAAAATACTTTAAAATCTCAGTTTTGCCCTGAACTAAAAATGTTTAATTAAAAATGCTTTTATCAATACAGCCTTCAGTTTAAATATCTTTGATATCTTTATTTATAATCATACAATATCGTTTCTATAAAAATATATAATTTCATTGAGCATTGTATTCTGCAATTATATTTCCTGGGAAGTGTCTGTTTAACAGTTTTTATCGTAAATTAGTTGTTTTATTGCAGATTTATTGTTCCATCATATATTTTAGTTTATATTACTTAAACTGGCAGGGGCGTTCAAGAGCTTTCTTGTAGGGGGGGGGGGGGCCTTTGCGCGCCCCCTTAAAACCTATCTTTTTCACTAATATATTGATTAGTTTTTATCTATATTAAAAAACCTAATATCTTTCATTAGGCTTTGCTTGCAGGTTTAGAACATTATATTAATTGATTTTATATTAGAGGTGCAAAGGAAATGAGTTTTTGCCACAAACTTAAAATTATAATCCCTATATCCTTGCAACCCTTGATGTACTCGTAGATCTTTGATATTTCCAATTATGAATTCTGTTAGACCGAAAAGCCTAATGTTACACCACATAAATATCAAAGGTTTACACAATCAGGTTTTAAAGAAATATGGATTAGAAAATTTGATGAATTGTGTCAAAAAANCCCCAGAAATTAGATATGTAAGCTTTTATTTGTTGAATTTTAGAATATGAATAATAAAAAGGATAACAACATGACTTGAAATTAAGTTTCCCCCCTCTAGTTCTTCTAAATAATATTTGAAAGAAGTTAGGTTTGTGCGCGTATAATAGCAAAACAATATTTAGAGTTTTAATTGCTGAATGATGAAAAACTTGCCTTTAGAAATCCAATTTTTTTTTATCCCCAAATATTTTTTTTACACAGAAGTTAGGTATGTTTGCTTGGACCGCCAACCAATGCCCTCGTACGCCCATGATAACTGGCATAGTTTAATCAAATATTTTAGTTTTTATTACTAACAGGTACATTTATTGATCATATATTATAGTTTTTATTACTTAATCACATTGTTGTATTATCATAGTTGTTATTACTAAACGTTAAATTGTTTAATAATATAAGTTAAATTATTTTATTATATATTATAGTTTTTATTACAAAAAGTAACATGGTTTATTTATATATGTAAATTTTAAGGTTACTCCTACAGTACAGTTGAGGACCCTAAGGTCTCATCACTCGAAGAGGTATTAATTGCCATTAATTAACATTAATTGCCGTTACTTAACATTAATTGTCATACATGTCATATTAATTTCTATTAAAATTTAAAAAAAAAATGGTTTCCCTTGGTTGAATAAAGAACTAAAGAGGGGAAAATAGTTAACATTTTTCTGACTGTTACAAACAATGTCATTAATGTTATCTATAAATAGGACAGAAGCGGGAGCTAGAACAATCACTATTAGAATTTTTTTTACAATAAAACCAGTTTAAGCAGTGTCCTATAGAAGTACAGGATTTTCCACACAGGATGAGACTGCAAGGACGACCTGAAATGCGTATTTGACGATCCCAAGGTGGAATTAAGTCTTCTGCCTTACATGTCATTTTTTTGGACTAATAAATGAATTGTTGAACTAGTTGACAGTTGCAGAGCATCGTGAATATAAGGAAACAGACTGTACAAATTTTGTACAATCGTCTCTGAAATCTAATCCTTTGTGGGTAAACCTGTTTGTTATCAAACTTTGATCCCCCTCCCCTTGCATTTGTTCAGCTTATGGCTGATATGGCACTTAAGTTCAAACAACTGAAAACCTATTTTTTATTTAGGCTCTTCAAAATTTGAAAAATCGAGATGAAAGTTCAATTCCCAGTTTAATACCTACTCCAACACCATATTCTCCCAAGCCTAGTCGCACAGAAGCTCCCATCACACCTGCACCTAAACCAGGGAGTCTTTCAATTCAAGACTTCTTTCCATCTGTTCCTTCACAGCCTAACGTAAAAATTGGCGAAACCCCTAAACCATCTGCGTCTTCAAGTCAAAAATACCCAAGCCAGGTCCCACAACCTTTTCCTTATCAACAAAACCAAGACCCCCAATCTTATAAAAATCAACAATATCCAACCCAAGACCAGAATCCGTCTTCAAATCAGCAATATCCTTCACCAGGCCAATTGCCTCAATCTTATCCTAATCAACAAAGCCAGCTCCCCCAGCCCTCTGCAAATCAACAAATCCCTACTCAAAGCTACCTCCCCAAGCCTTCTACAAATCAACAATATCCCTCACAAAGCCAAGTCCCTAAACCTTCTCCTAATCAAGAAAACCCATCACAAGGCCAAATGCCTCAACCTTTTCCTAATCAACAAAACCCATCACAAGGCCAAATGCCTCAACCTTTTCCTAATCAACAAAACCCATCACAAGGCCAAATGCCTCAACCCTTTCCTTATCAACAATACCATTCACAAGGTCAGCTACCCCAGTCTTCTACATATCAACAAAACCCATCCCAAGGCCAAGTCCCTCAACCTTATCCTAACCAATATTATCAACCAAACAATTACCAGAGGGGAGATTATGCCAGTTCATCTCAAAACCATTCTCAGGAATTTGGTGACAACTCTCTGATACCTAACAAGAAACCCTCATCAGGTTATTTTCTATTAAAGGGACTAGGGAAAACTATTAAATGTTTACGTAGAACTGTATGACCCCAGGGAATATTATCAAAAGTTGGCCCGGTGTGATGTTAAATATCACCAGGGCAATAATTTGGACACTTTCCCCATAAAATTAAATCATGAAAGCATTGATGAACACCTGCTTAATTTAAATATTTAATTAAGTAAATAATTATTTTTATGTCCTGATGCTAGAAAAAATGTCGAACAATATTTGTTTCCAAATATTTTAAATATTTTCAAAAAAAATTTTCCCTTGCACATATAAAAAGTTACGTATTAGATAGTCGTAAAATGTAAACAATTATATTTTAATATTGTGTACTTTGACATTAAAAATTGAAATACAGTATCCCAGACAATAATATTGCCTTAGTGGTTTTTAACGTGACACCAGTAAAAATGTCGACATTTTTAAATACAAATGCACCAAACTGAAAAATTCGCAAAAAAACCAAGCTATACAATTATGAATAACGGCAACTTGCAGAGAAACATTTAAGCGCTTAATTTTTAAAGAAAAAAGGGCGTTTTTAGTAGACAATTTGGTTGATTGAATAATTTTCAGGTTTTCCTAATAAAGATCCTTCTCAGGGAATCAGTTTTCCAGCTCCTTCAGGTTAGCAACTTAAGGCCATTTCGAGGCTAGATCCCCCCCCTCCCTCCCTCTTTAGGGGGCTGGATCCCCCCTGCTAGTCTAGGATTCACTCTTCTAGGGGACTCTGTCTTTAGCTCCCCCATCACCTGACAACAATGTTACCAGAATGTCCCATTTTTATAAATCCATATTTGATCTGGAGAATAAAAGTTATTAACAAATATTTTAAAAGATAATACAATTTTTCTGACTGTTTTATTTATATATTTGAGTTGTGCCAGCTCTTAGGATAGGAAACTCGGTTCGAGAAGAAGATAGTGATATTCTATATTTTTATTTTGTTTTTGATACATCTATATAATAATGCTCTTCGCTCATGTGTATATATTTGTATGAATATATGTTTGCTGTAACTGGCCAAACGGCTGGACCAAATTGGCTGACATTCTTTGAGGGAACCCATGGGTGCCTCAGGAGTAACATAGGCTAAATAATTCGATTTTTTTCTTCAAAATTATATTATTCCGGATATAGTGTTGAGACTAGTTAACAGACTTGTATTATTACAGGATATAGTTTTAAGACTAGTTAACAGACTTGTATTATTACAGAATATAGTTTTGAGGGTAGTTAACAGAATTAATTATATTATTACAGGATATAGTTTTGAGACTAGTTAACAGACTTGTATTATTACAGAATATAGTTTTGAGGGTAGTTAACAGAATTATATTATTACAGGATATAGTTTTGAGACTAGTTAACAGACTTGTATTATTACAGGATATAGTTTTGAGGCTAGTTAACAGAATTATATTATTACAGAATATAGTTTTGAGACTAGTTAACAGACTTGTATTATTACAGGATATAGTTTTGAGACTAGTTAACAGACTTGTATTATTACAGGATATAGTTTTTAGACTAGTTAACAGACTTGTATTATTACAGGATATAGTTATGAGGGTAGTTAACAGAATTATATTATTACAGGATATTATTTGAGGCTAGTTAACAGAATAATGTTTAAACAGGATATAGTTTTGAGGTTAGTTTAAAGAATAATGTTAAACCAGGGTATAGTGTTGTACTAATTAATGGAAAAATGTTAATTCAGGATATAGTTTTTAGGTAAGTTAACAGAACAATGTTCATACAGGATAGGATATATTAATGAGTCTAGTTAACAGAATAACGTTAATGCAGGATAGGATATAGTTATGAGTCAAGTTAACAGAATAATGTTAATGCAGGATATAGTTTTGAGTTAAGTTAACAGAATAATGTTAATACAGGATAGGATAAAGTAATGAGTCTAGTTAACAGAATAATGTTAATGCAGGATATAGTTTTGAGTTAAGTTAACTGAATAATGTTAATACAGGATAGGATATAGTTATGCGTCTATAGTTAACAGAATAATGTTAATGCAGGATAGGATAAAGTTATGAGTCTAGTTAACAGAATAATGTTACTGCAGGATATAGTTTTGAGTTAAGTTAACAGAATAATGTTAATACAGGATAGGATATAGTTATGAGTCTATAGTTAACAGAATAATAATAATGCAGGATATAGTTTTGAAGCTAATTAATAGAATGATGTTAATTTAGGATATATGTATGAGTCTAGTTAACAGAATAATGTTAATACAGGATAGGATATAGTTATGAGTCCTGAGCTTAAAACTTTTGAATGGGATATCCTTAATCCTGATCAGATCATTAATCTGGAGATTCAGAATATAGTTATGAGTTAACAAAATAATGTTAATACAGGATAGGATATAGTTATGAGTCTATAGTTAACAGAATAATATTAATGCAGGATANGTTAATACAGGATAGGATATAGTAATGAGTCTAGTTAACAGAATAATGTTAATACAGGATAGGATATAGTAATGAGTCTAGTTAACAGAATAATGTTAATACAGGATAAGATTTAGTTATGAATCTATAGTTAACAAAGTAATGTTAATACAGGATAGGATATAGTTATGAGTCTAGTTAACAGAATAATGTTAATACAGGATAGGATATAGTTATGAGTCCATAGTTAACAGAATAATGTTAATGCAGGATATAGTTTTGATGCACCTCTGTTCCAGCTTCCTAAAGAAGAATGCCACACTGACGCAGGTGAAACACCTATTAGATTTCTGTTAAATAGGAGGGAAAGCTCAGAATTATTCATTGAATTTAACATTTTCAGTGAGAGTTTTTTATAGCAATTGTGAAGTACAAGGCAAACCCGGATTCTTAATCTGAACTAAACAGAGTAAATCCGGATTCAGCCCCCCCCCCCCATTAAACAAATCACACCAAGTACAAGCAAACTCTTGTCCTCTCTTTGGATTATTGTTGTTTACTGTCGACCTAGAATTCAATAAATATTAGGATTTTATCATATAATTAAAGATTAGGTCTGGTCGGCGGCCTGAAAATGTATGGCTGAGTACCTAGAATTCAATAAATATTAGGATTTGATCATATAATTAAAGATTAGGTCTGGTCGGCGGCCTGAAAATGTATGGCTGAGGCAAAATATTACTACAAAATTAAATTCACTCTGGAAAGCAATAAAGCTGAAAATAATTATTTTGTAGATTGTAATTCCATTTTTTTAAAAAAATTAACTTTCAAGGTAACTTTTTAAATTAAAATTTCATTTAAAGTTTTGAAAATTTAACCTTTTATTATATTCAAAATAGTAATTAACAGAACTGCATAGGATAACCCATTTCAGGGAATATTTCTACAGAATTTGTATTGTTATTTCGGATTTGATTGAATTATCCATATCATACTCGTTAAAAGTTCTATTTACGAATCAAATAGAAAACTTTCCCCCTTTTTTCTGTGAGTAAATCATTTCAGGATATTTTCATCTTAATTCTTATTGTTCTTTGTTATTATTATTATAATTATTAACGGACAACCCTGCATCCTAACCGCCGAAATGTATCCATGGGCACCGCGGTCCGTGATTTTCTTTTGGGAGAAGACTTACAACGGGCAAGCTGCCTAAAAAAAGTGTTTAAACCTTCTCAGGATCAATACTTGATCCATTCATTTTAGTTCGTCTTACAGAGTTCAAATACCACAGTATCGAATAAAAAACAGTTAAGCTTTATATCTGAAAAAATGAACATCAATGCTTGATCCCAAAAATCACAACTCAAAAGTAAAAAGTTTCGATCTCAGGATTTTCAAACAAGTCTTCATTAAAAATACCCACTTTTGTTTACCTATTCCCTTTTTAAGAGCACTGTAAGGCTTGGCGCAATTCTGGAACAAAAAGTACTTAATTATTGCACTGTTAGTTTTTCTTGGTAAGAGGTAAAGGGATTATTTGCATTTATTTCTTTTCCTCGCCACAAATGATGTCAACAAGTAATATTTTCTCGGCATTGAGCTAATTAGATTTAAACAGAAAACTTGGAAATAAATTTCCTTATTTCATTTTCCTTCTAAAGCTTTGAAGATGATTTTCTTGTATTCTCGACGCTTCATTTTTAGGAGAGATTGGAGAGTGCCTGGCTCCCTTTAATTGTGGAGCTGAAGGTGGCGAACCTGCTGGACTATGTCATCAGGTTTATTTTCTCAGTGAACGATAGTTCAGAAAAATCGTTGGTTTAATAAAATTTGTCTAGAAACAAAACTATTAATTTTTTTTTAATTTGTTGGGAAAAAAAGTTCGTTCTGTAAAAAACCAAAGTTTTTTAAAGTTTGTTCCAAAAGATTCTTCGTTCAGGGAAAACCAAAGTGTTAGTCAAAATCTTTTAGAAAATTCATTTGTTCAGTAAAAAAAGTACGTTCGAACTATTTAAATCGTCATGGTTTTTGTTTTCAAAATCGATCGTTTTTTCATTTCTCTGAATGATCCAAGTTCATTGTCCGTTCTCGAAAAGTTTTGTTCGTTCTAAAAATTTTTTTCGTTCACTAAAAAATAAAAAATTATAAAACGTCTGTTGTAATATTATTGAATTTGAGCACTTTCCCCGCAATATCAAATTCAAAAGGCATTGATGAACAACTGCTCAACGTAGACATTTCGTTAAATAAGTTTTTGAATTGAGCAATACTTGATGTAGAATACAATATTCTGTCTTAAATGTCATCTTCCTTTCAACGAATCAAAAAAACGGATATTTAAACTTTTATCTCTTGCACATTTTAAACTATGTATGAATAAGTTGGTGAAATCTAATAAATCTATTAAAATATTTTTGAAATTTGATATTTAAGACCAAAGTACAGTAAGTAGCCCGAGCATAAACTCACGTGCCCGAATGCTTTTCAACGTGAAACCGCCCATCAAATGCACCTTGCAAACCTTTACACTTAATTTTTTGATTAATTTACAATGAAAACCAGAAAACTGTAGAATAGGAAGACATAACCACAATATGAAGGAAATA